TCGTATATACCAATATACTAAATACCAAAATACTATCCCCCCTGCATTATAAGGGCCTGTAGTGTTTTAGTTGAAGCTGATAGTCAGTCAATATATATGAACCAATTCAGGGTATATAACACGAAAAATAAAAGTTGCTTCGAATAACCTGTTGAACAACTTAATTCTTCAATGTGATTTTCATTACCCGTGATTTTAAAATATACAAGTAATAGCTTTTCAAAAAGCTTGCCTGACTAATCAATCAATATCTATGGAACGTATAAACAAGAGAGGTGCTAAACGTTTCCGTCATCAAGGAGCGATATAGTTGCGATACTTCATTACACAAGATGTACAATTGACCTTCTCAAATGCCATAACCAAATACTACAGAACAACGAATATCTAGGACATGCCACTATTCGGTCATTTATTAGTTAGCCCACGGGCTGACCAGTTACGTTGGGATGAAACTGCAAGTGCGCTAGCTTAGATTATAATTCTGGGAAAAAAGTTAGATGATTCGTTTCAAAGAAATTCATTTTACATGTACTCTCTTACTAGAGGGCGCGCTTTTTCATGCACACTCTCTGCGCGCGCGCTGGTCAGTGATAGATTGATGAGACGGCCTCTATTTATAAACTGGTCTGTTTTCCGTCGTTCTCTACAACAAAGTAAATTATGAACAGTTTTAACTGGGAAAGTTATCTTGAAGTGTTTGAGACAAAAATGCTTCAATGCTGCTCTAGGACGCAAAGTAAATGGCCTGTACATTTTATAGCTAGAGCAAAACAAGATACTAATAACACCCCCCCCCCCCGGGACGAAACTCACGCGATGATGGTCTTACCATATATAGATGTACATGTATTGTATATGAGTTTAAAATACATCTGTGATAGTGTAAGATACACGGCATCCTACTAGCTTGTACTAGTGGGTTAATCCTTTAGCTCAATTGGTAGCGCACTGGACTGGCAAGTCAGAGGCTCCGGGTTCAATCCCCAGCAGAGGCACATAAATGTCTCTGTAGTACATCTTTATGTACAGTTTTAAAATTGTTTAGTTTTTCTTTTCAATCGATTTTGTCTTCTTCATTTTGCCGATTCTTTACTTAAAAACCTTACGGGAGTGAAGCCCATTCCTCTACGGGTACTGACCTACGATCTTGTCTCTGTATTAAAAGAAATCCCTTGTTCATCACAAAGCATGAAATAATATGCTACTGGCTGACTTTCTAAGCTTTTTTAAAAATCTAACCTTGTAACGTACATTATTAATAAATGTAATATTGAAAAAAAGGTGTAAAACAGACTGAATCAAGAAGGGGTGTACCATTTACTAGGTGGAGGGAGTTTGTTTATGATTGGACTAGTCAACTTATGGGATAAATAGTAAGAATAATCAGCAAATTCATTGCTTTAGTGTTGCCTGCCCATATACGATGTGTTCTTTTAAAAAATGAGATAAAATTTACTGTTAAAAAAAACTGAAGCTTAAGAATCAGGTTAAAAAAAATTTTCCATAGAGAGTTATCACACCTTTTCAATAGAACAATCCAAGAAAAAGGCACGAAGATAATTTACATGTGACATTTGGCGCAAAATGATTGTGTCACCCCTTTCGTAGAAGGCAGATGGACTGATCCAGTAGTTTAGAAACACAGAAAAAATGTTACACGGACATGTCCGTACAATGAATCACAAAGAATAAACATGTGCATGCAAAAAAAAAAAAAAAAAAAAAAAAAAAAAAAAAAAAAACCTGAAGGAATTAAACACATCATTATTTTGCACCAGTAATATGATTCTTTCTTCTGCAAGCTGTATTTGTTTAAATACAGGTAACAAATTCCGATGTAAATTAGCCTGGTTCCGGCCTACCCATAATGCTACTGTGCGTAGCATTATGGGTAGGCCGGAACCAGACTAGATGTAAATAAGCTTGCACAAAATCTAGTTCATTAAGAATGATCGTTTAGTTTCGAATCATAGAAAAATTAATCCTTATACTGTCTGACGCGCGTGGCGTCAGGCAATAAACCTGATAATGACCTTTTATTTTTTTCTGATGTTAAGTATAGATCGATAAAACATGATTTTTGAAATTTGGCATGAGTCTGCTAGTAAGTTTAAAATTGCGGGGGGGGGGGTCGTTTCCGGGAAGTTAAGGTATTTCCATCCTTGTAATTTTATGGGTTCAAAGTAAAAAAAAAAAACTGCATTTATTTTCATGGAATATAGTTTAAATTAATGAATAATCGCATAAAATATATAGGTTGCCATATTTTAAAAGATGTAAGACATAAATAAACAGAAGCATATATCAGCATTCAAAAAATCGTACATTTTTAGTAAACAGTATAATAAAACTAATGTAAAAACTGGTTGTAATAGATAACTGTGATGCTAAAAGTTCCAAAATAAATGCTCCTTTAAAAATATGTTTGAATTGTGAATATCAGGGAAACCATTTCACATTAGAAGTACAATACGGAAAATGCCTGAATATAGATTTCGTGAGAAAGAGTTATTGCCCTTAGCAATACTTTTAAGATTGAATAATTGATTAAATAAAGAAAATATTCATTTTTTAAAATTCTTTTACTAAACAATATTTGTTTTTACACCCATTGAAACACATTCTTGTAAAAGATATGTTTAAATGGGGTATGAATTCAAATTAATAACAGTTTTTGCAAAAACCTATGACATCACAGGAGGGTGGAAATACCTTAATTGTTACGAAAGTTAATTTTCAGCAATAAAACTTATAATTCTTGGCAAAAAATATAACTGTCGTTTATTTTAAGATGTTAATCGAAATTATTAAGTATTTTGTTCAAAAAATAATTAAACATTTTTTTCACTTTTAAATGAGAGAGACAACAATGTTTGTCTAATCCATTTTGTTATGTCAAAAAGCGATGGTCTTTTTTTGATCTGACTCGCAGCTACAATACATAACAATTTGGTTCACTTTTAGGTACACGGAAGTTCCGGTTCATTGACAGATCTGCATGGTTTGTGTATACAGTTTTAAACAAAAACGTTACGGAAGTTACATGTAATTCTTTTTCTACGACTATGCTACAGGATCCATTTATTTGACTGCGGAAAGAGATTAGTCTTCTGTTTATAAAGGGGGGGGGGACTTTTTATCCATATTCCATGCAATTAATTGTGAAAGCTTGTGCAAGTGAAAAAATTTCGTTTTGAAACATCTTAATGAGTGAAGTGACATTAATATTTGCGCTGGAATACATTTTTTTTAACATTTTGTTCATGTTAAAACCCAAACTGCGTTTATGGTTTAATATGATTACATGAAACCAAGTATTTGTATGCTGAGTTTTAGAGTTGAAATTCATCTTTTATATTATTGAGAATATGATGTTAAAACGCTTAACGAGGCCGAGTCTAATTCGAGTGCGCATATCTTTGGGCAGCTTTTTAGTTTCATGCAGTCGTAGGAGCAACGTAACACCTATCCTATGTATTGTAATTTTAATACAAAATTAACATTATATTATATTATCTGTAACGTCTATGGGTCTTAAAATGTGCTTTTAAGACAATAAATAGGAATAAACGCTGAAATGGCTTTCACGACGTCACTGTTTTCTGGTCTGTAAGCAAATTTTACAGTTAAGGCGAAATGGGAACAAACCCAATTATGCACGTAAGTATTATAATAGCGAGTATGCTGGCGGATCTTAAGCGCACATTGTGAAACCAGTATCCAAACAATTGATATCTTTTATTTTTGTTTAGAAGCTCGCCACGACTGATTCTCTCGCCACCTGAGACTATGGGGATGCGGTCTGCCGATGTGGATGTTATCCTCCGAGGGCTGGGGGCTTACGGTCCCTATCAGATGTGTCAGTACGCCTACTCTTTACTATTAATGCTTCCAGTCTCCTACCCGGCCCTAATCTACGTCTTCATAGGTACTTTATATCATAAAATTATTTACTTTTACATATAATAAGCATTATGGCATGATTTTATTTCTTTTCCAGTAGTCGAGTACTGATTTTACAGCTAGTATTCAGTACTCGGCCCTTTCTAATCGGGTAACCGGGTAATCATTGACAACGTTAACTTTTATACATGCGCCGCATCTAGAGGGGGGTCAGGACCCCCCCCCCCCGGAATTTGCAGTCATTAAATATATATACTAAACCAACTAAAAGTGACCTTGGAACCCATCCACCCCCCAGAAAACGCAGAACCCCCCCCCCCCCCCCCCCGAAAACGCGGATATGTGTAAAGTTGGTATGATAAGTCATAGGTATGAAGCTTGTTTTAGAAGTCAACGACTCCCCCTCCCCCCCCCCCCCGAAATAGTTTTATATCAGTTTTACACGTGTGGGAAAGGAGTTTACGTTTTTGTTTTTTTTTTTTTGTTTTGTTTTTTTCTTGTCAAGAATTTTCTGGGTTGAAATTTTTTGGAACCCCCCCCACCCCACTGGAAAAAAAAATCCTGGATCCACGCCTGCTTATATATTAGGCTTGTCAATTGGTAACCGGTTACTCGAGTACTCGTGTTAAAACCATGTTGCAGAAATAAATTTTTGACAAAGAGGTTTTTTATCTTTGACTATACTAAGATAGCACACGAGTTTCAATTTTAATTCAGTATAATATTAGAACATAAGTGTGGTGTGTATCACCATACTAGCTGGATTGACAGATACTTAGCATCAGCATGGTAACTTTAAGGGTGTATTCTTTTTTTTTTTTTTTTTACCTTACTTCTGTTTTATCTATCAGAATAAGTATATTTTGGACGCTTACCCACTATTTCCTATTTACATTTTGAATATTTGCTTGATTTCTTTACTTGAGTCTCTGAAAATCCCAAGAAGTCTGGTTTTCCACAATATTTTCTAAGTCTTATGTTTCCAAAAAAAAAAGTTTTCGCCAACTCAATTTTTTTTCTTTGCTTCAAATAATAAATATTATATTGCATTAAAAAGTGATATCTAAATCGAAGAGTGAAACGTTCTACTTCAAATGGCTGAAATTACCTATCTGTATTTCTTTGGTAAATAGTGAGTATTTTACAACACCGTCGGAACAGGGGGTGCGTTGGGTGCGATCGCACCCCCTTTTAGAAAGAAAAATTGAAAACACATACAAAAATACAATACATGTATTATTTTTTTAGACAAATTAGAATCAATATTTTTCTTTTTGAAGGAATGCTGCTAGGTTTTATTTATTTGATAATTAATATGTGAAAAAATGACTAAGATTTCACCAGAACCCATTCAAATACGATACCCATTTTTAAAACAAATTTTTAACTTAGAAGAGGAGGTACCTCTCTCAGACACCCCCTTTTCCAGAAAATGGCGAGGGCCCTGTGTAAATTTTTATACATATATTGCCACAAAGAACAGCTCTTTTTTCCAGCATCGACAAATAAGAGTTCGTAAACTACAAGGTATTCAATGCTTAAAAAAAACAAAAACAAAAACAAAAACGGATACACTGAAGAACAAACCTTGTTTCTGACTTTTTCATTGTTATTGTTACTCTAGAATCAAAGATGATGTCATAACACGTTTGATAAAAATGTAGATGAAATTGCATGATCCATTTGGTTAAATTTGTATTTCTAAATTAGTTTTTAACTGTATCAATTAATTTATGTTGCAGGATATCCTCCAAATTTCCAGTGTAAGAATTTTACTGCACCTTCTAATGCATCGGTGCTAATAGAACCACAGACATGTGACGTCACCTACATAACCAACTCACTGAATAAATCGGAGTCTACAAATACCCCTTGTCCAAATGGCTACAAATACGACGGACCACAAACTGCGGTCACGGAGGTGATTTCATAACTGCTGAATTTTTACTACAGTAAAACACTTACACCGAACACGCATATAAAGAATTTACGTTTATAGCAAAGAGATTTTTATTCCCTGTAGTTTTAAACGTATTGTGAACTTATTGTGTTCGAGTATATAACGAATAGCGCTTAAAGAAAAAGAAAACAGACTGTCCTTGGCACTTCGCTATTAGTGATTTTTGTACAATGTATATGCTTACAATCACAATACACGATGTCCCCCTTTCTTGTAGTGGGACCTGATATGTGACAGAGAAAGTTTGGGGCAGATGTCCACTGCTGTGGTCATGGTGGGCCAGATGCTGGGAGCCACCATCTTTTCTGTTATTGTAGATAAAAGTGGCAGACATGGAGTCACGTGCTTCTGTTTCATAGCTCTGACCGTCTGCTCCCTTGGTCTTGCCTTCAACACCTTCTTTGCACTGTTTGTTATTTTGAGATTCCTCATTGGTGCATTTCAACAGGTAGTCAATTTAACTTCTTCAAATGTACCAACTAATGGGTAATCTAGAGCAGTGAAATAGATTATATTGTTTAGAGTGGAATACTGTAAAATCAATATTTTCGTGCGGATAAATTTTCATGGTTTGACGAAAAATATTGGTTTGTGGGATTTGATTTTGTGGTTGATGAAAGCTGTCTTGTCATATATTTGAAATTTTACATTTCGTGGGGGAAATGAATTCATGGGTCTCTTCATACTTCGGAAACAATTAAAATTGAATTAGTGCTTATTAGTATCTAAGAAAAATCTCACGTTTATAAGGTAACAACATCTACACATTTGTACTCAGGGAGTCCAGATGGCACAAGGTTCTCTGATTATAGAAATGTTTCCAACGGAATTCCGAGCTACCACTACCTTGATAGGTGCTTTAATGTGGGCGGTGAGTATAGCGTCCCTCTCTCTGTTCGGCTACCTCCTACAAGACCAATCCTGGAGATACTTACAGCTTCTGGTGGGTCTGATTGGCATCCATTGTCTGGGAACGCATTGGTGAGTCTGGCAATTAAGAATAATGTCCACTTGCTTCTCCTCGAGGCGTGTTATTTAATAAATGTTGTTAAAACATCCCAGGTTACAGCACGAATCTTTACGGTGGTTGGTGGCGAATGGCAAAGACGAAGAGATAAAAGTTTGGATAATTAGAGCAGCAAAATGGAATAAAAAGGATCCAGAACAGATTCTGAAGCACTTATACTCGCCAGTAAAGGAGGGAGAGCAATTGCTTGTGAATTCAGATCATCAAATAGCAGACAGTGCAGACGACTCAATTACAGAAAAATACAATATCCTCGACATTGTACGAAAAAGAAGAGTTTTAGTCATATCTTTTATCCTGTGGACTGCTTGGTAAACATTGCCAGCTTTTAGAATAGATTATGATTTTTCATTTAAAAGTGCAACAGAAATTTAACTAGTCTGAAAAATCTGACGTTTTCCAGGCGTTTTTCACGATTTTGATATTTGACGTGCGTTTTCCTGGCACGTCAAATATCAAAATCATGAAAAATGCCTGGAAAACGTCAGATTTTCGGAATAAAATTTAACATGTTGAACAACGTCACACAAGTTAACATTTTGTTGTTCTTTTTAACTAGGTTTGTCGTCAGTTTGTCTTATTACGCCCTGTACCTGATGTCCAGTAGTTTATCAGGAAACAGATTTCTGAATTTCTTCCTTAATGCTTTGGCAGAAATTCCTAGCCAGTTCGTCCTTTGGTATCTTGTCGGAAAGTGAGTTATTGAACGAAAGTGACATAATTAACAAACTGAATTTTGCAACTTTACATAAAAAACAACACGTGTGAATGCAAATTAAAGCAAATAAATTTTGATACAAATTTCCTTTAGGATAGGTAGAAGATATACATCCATTGGATTTTTCGCCCTCTCAGGACTCTTCCTCATTGCATCTGCACTTATTTTGAAATTTGCAGGTAAAAATACAACTTGCATTCATATTTTAAGCTCACTTCAACGGAGTGGGGAAGGGGGTGGGGGCTTATGCAATACCGTCGGTGTTGGCGTCCCAGGTTAATTCTTTTTAAGTACACGTAATTCTATGCCCTAAATGAAACAGAGATGCATAGACGATGCTTCTAGTGTGTTTCATTGTACCAGTCAAGGTTTCAGATGCTCCAATTTCAGCTAAAAAATGACCAGGTTAAAGTTTTTGGAGCAGGTCTCATTTCCAAGTAACTATAAGCCCTAAATTGATCAAACTTGCATGGATGATATATTTAAGAATGCACACTACCAGGCTTGCTTCGGATGCTGGATTTGACCTTCATTTTCAGGGATGAGTGACCAGGTTAACGTTTCTGGAGCAGGTTCATTCTATGGTAACTATTTGACCAAAACTTGCATGAATGATACATTTAAAGATGCACACTATTGGACTTGCTTCGGAGGCTGGATATGACCTAGATTTTCCTGATGAGTGATCAGGTTAAAGGTTTTGGAGCAGGTTCATTTTAAAGAGACATATGCCCTATGCTTACCAACTTTGAATTTAAAATGCATTTATTGATGCACTCTACTAGAGTTGCTTTGGATGTGGGATTTGACCTGCATTTTCCAGATGAATGACCAGGTTGAAGTTTTTGGAGCAGGTCCATTATAAAGAAACTATACAGCCTACCTGAACCAAACTTGCATGGATGATGAATAAAGGGATGCACACTACCAGAGTTGCTTCAGATGCTGGATTAGTCCTACATTTTCCTGATGAGTGACCAGGATAAAGTTTTTGGAGCAGACTCATTCCAGTGTAACTTCAAGCTCTACCTAGACCAAACTTGCATGGATGATGCATAAATGGATGAACACTTTCAAACTTGTTTCACATGCTGGATTTGACTTCCATTTTCTGCAAGAGTGACTATTCTAAAGATTTTAGAACAAGTCCATTCCCAATTAACTACAAGCCCTATCAGACCAAAATTGCATATTAAATGATAAATGTTGCATTTAGGGATGCACACTACTAAATTATTACTTTAATATGGGGTTTTGCCTTACTTAAAGACAACATTCATTGAATTGAACTCTGTAGTCTTTGATTACCTATGTTATAAATATAATTTGCTCTTTAATATGCAACTTCAAATATTCATCCATTGATTCGCTTGTCATTTGCGAAGTTATTTACATCTTGGAAATATAATGATGTTTGATCAAATTGATTCTCGTAATCTCGTAAACGTCTTGGACATACTTAAGTATTGTATATGCTGATAACAAAAAAAAACTTCTATCTCTTGTAGTCCACCTAAGTACCCTGTCTTTGATATTTAGTCTGGTGGGGATGTTCGGAATTGCTGGTGCTTTTTCGTGCCTGTTTCTCATAACCCCAGAGCTGTATCCAACCAACTTAAGGTAAGGATCAGAGAACAGGGAAGCTAGCCCACTTTGAGGACATTTTCTTAAAAATATTGATATTTTCTGTTGGCTTTACAGAAGCACGGGCCTTGGTTTGTCGTCCACTGCTGGTCGGATTGGGTCTATTCTGTCGCCATTTGCCTCCTCTTTTGTAAGTGTTCAGTTGATTAATTATTTCTACCACCGCTAGGGCGAAATATTGAATTTCGCATGTCTGTCTGCCCATATGTCACAAAGATGTGTCCAAGCCATCAATGTGAAAATTATTAAAAATTTTGCATATTATATATATATCTTAAGAGCTGTTGTAGTTCAGTGTGCGTGCGTTTATATATATTTTGTTATTCGCTTTTGCCTTTAATTTTTAAAACAGATTAAGCTATATTTTGTTTTTCAGGCTCTACACGTGCCTTGGGGACCAGGATTAACTTTTGGAATTTTGTGCTTGATTCTTACGTTTCTCTTCATGTGGTTGCCAGAAACAAAGGATAAAGTATTACCCACAACCGTTAACGATCTGGACAAACCACCAAAGTCTTCTCAGGAGCTCTAAGCAACGTGTGTGATCGCTTATGTTTCATGCACTAACGTTATAGACAATTACTACAGATCAGACTGCTACGCACTGTGTTCCTGTCCTGCTAAGGGACATGTCATGAATCTTAATCATTAATGAGGTTTTAATAAAAAAAAAAATGTTGAAATTTGAGCCTTGTTGAAATTGTAGATTTAAAATGTATGGGACTGAAGGCTAGAATGAGGTCACGGTGTTTTACAGTGCCTCACAAATATCAGAAAATTATTATTCTCTAGATAAAAAATTGCTAAGTCAATTGAATTAACACATTATTTAAGCATGTACCTTGGACCTTTGTCAGGTTTCTAAAAAAAAGAGGGGGGTACAGGGAGAATTTGGGAGGCGTATACGTACCTTCTCTATGCCAGGATTTCTTTTGAAATGGGTACCATTTTGGTGACTTCTGGTGCGCAGAATTCCTTCAAACAGATAAAGAGTGAATTTATTTTGTTCCGAAACGACATTTTTGAGTGCTATTTTAAAGGTGATGCGATCTCGCACAACACATCCCTGTTGTATGAAGGAGTATATATTGAGCGTATCCATTTCATTTTCAAACGTAATGTCCAAAGATAATGAAGTATTGATGAATAGAAGTCACTGTTGTTTACTTATGTTAGGAAAGTACATGCAAAAAAGTGCTCAATTAATTTATCTTTGCCTATTAAAATGTTAAGAATGTTTGGATTGGTTACAAATTGAATAAAAAAAAATAACTGTAGATTGCTGTTAAATATTGTATTTCTAGGGGCAGATTACTCTATACGCTAATATTTATTGCATAAAAAAATACCACCGAATCAGAACTTCTCGGTGTGCAATAGAGAGAGGGTTCTTAATTTAAAATATTTTTAAAATTTCCTTGAATGACAAAGAAATTACTTTAAACACGTTTTTTTTCACCCCATATTTTTGACAAATTTAATGGAGACCTTATATTCAACTATATATTCCACTCTCAACTCGCTTAGCTGTGTTTGTGGCATATTTTATTATTTTTGCTTTGCATACATGTATATATTACGTACATGTATTTATATTATTTACATGTATTATAAGTGTCATATTTCATATTTATTTTGATTTGAAATGCACATATTAAATAATATAATTATTCAGTTTAAAAGCTTTTGTGTACATTCACACATGGTCTGTCAATAGGTGTATATAGATAGAAATGGCCTTATGTCATTAGTTATATCCAGGCCTAATGTTGGATGTATCTTTTCATTTCATTGGTGTTTTAGTTTGTATTTTACTTGGGGATTGGTTCATGTTTTTCCCTCCAGAAGGTTCTTGGTTTTTCTGGACATTCTTTGTCCAGAGGTTGGTCAGTAATGTGTATCTAGTGATCTGACATATTGACTTTGACATTTTCTTAGAGACCGACTTTTCTTCTCCTTCTGGTAAGTTAACAATTTATTTCTAATATTAATTTCAATTAAATGTCCAATCTGTAATTTTGATCTTACTTGATCTATTTCCCAAGCACTTTCCCTGAGTAAATGAGATCAGTGAGAATGATATTTTAAACTATGATGTAAATAAAAAGATCTCATTGTTAGATATTTTAAGAAATATATTTTTTATGATCTGGTGTGTAATATTGTGTAATTTACAAATCTATGAGGCGCCGTTTTGGTATTTACTGCCAAAAAGTGATATCACCTATTCGAATAGGTGATATCACCTATTCGAATAGGTGATATCACCTATTCGAATAAGTGATATCACTCATTCAAATTGAATAGGTGATATCACCTATTCGAATAGGTGATATCACTTATTCGAATAGGTGATATCACTTATTCGAATAGGTGATATCACCTATTGGAAATGAATAGGTGATATCACCTATTCGAATAGGTGATATCACCTATTCGTGCTGAATAGGTGATATCACCTATTCGAATAAGTGATATCACCTATTCGAATAAGTGATATCACCTATTCAATTTGAATAGGTGATATCACCAATTCGAATAGGTGATATCACCTATTTGCATTTCTTACAACAATAAATAATGAATGCTCCCTTCCTCAAGATTTCCATTGGAACCAAGCAAATTCGGACTGCATTAAGGTCTGTAAGTCTCGTCACGTGACTCGCGAGATTTTTCGATAATGGAGATGACGCCCAGTCTGACGAAGATGGTTCAATAATACCCTTCTCTAACATTTGATCTAAATGCTCTTTTTCTTCTTTTTCAAAGCATAATGGAGTTCTTCGTAACTTATGTCGGATTGGTTTTGCAGTACCTGTGTCAATTTTGTGCTTTATGTCACCATTAAATGAACCCATATCAAATTCATTTTTTGCAAAAACTTCTTGATAAGAAATAATAAATTTTGCAAATATGATACACTGTTGTTTTGTAAGATTTTGGATTGATCTTTCAAACATGTCTGTTAGATGTTTTGGAATGCTTTTCTTAATTTGCTCTAAACTCATATTGTCAACATCTAAAATTCTGATATCAACTTGTTCTTCATTATCATTATTTGTCTCTGAATCTTCTGAATCTATAACTTGATCTAACTGCATTCCAATACCCACATCTGAATTTTTCTCAACAGTAATAAATCTGTCTGTTGGGTTTTTCATTAGAATGAAATCTTGATCATATTTATTGACACAATTTGGTGACAACAGCCCTTTTTGAATCTTACAAGGACTTATAACAATGTCAAAATCAGGTAATTTGTCAAATCTAATTTGTGTATAAATACTAGATCTTGGTGGAATCACAACTTTCTTTTTCATTTGAACTCTGAAAATTTTTATCTTTTCTTTGTTTTCATTTGCAGCACATTTTGCAGAGATGCTGCAATTTCCGATGGACAAAGAAAAATCTTGCAAATTTATATTTGCCTTATTGTGCTCTAAAAAATCAAGGCCTAATATAATGGGATCTTCTATATTTGCAACCACAAAGTTCCACCTAGTTGTGATATTTCCTAATGATAAAGGTACATTCTGACAGATCTTAGAGTCTAAATTGCTTTTGCTTGTACCCTTTAAAAGAACATGACCTTTGATTTCTGGATTAGGAATTAATTTCTTGTAAAGATCTGTACTAATAACAGAAATTTGTGCTGCAGTATCTAGTACAGCATCTGTTGTAACATTTTGAACCTTAACTGGAACATAAAGGGTTTTGTACTCAAACATTTTATGGGATTTAAATTTAGTATGGGGTTCTGGCCTTGGTGTATTGATGTGAGCTGAAGAATGGCCTACTTCCTCAGCTCTTGAAAGTTTAAATTTCTTTGTGATCTTATGGGTGACTGTGAAGGTGATCTGTTTTGTAAAGGTGATCTTTGTCTTGAGTATGCTTGATGTAAACAGTCTCTTGCATAGTGACCTATCTCACCACACTTGAAACATTCACTCTTTCTCTCTCTCTCAGGACTATATGATCTTGATTGACCATCTTTTGTAGGAGATTGTGATGGTGATCTGTATCTTGTAGGAGACCGTGATGGTGATCTGTATCTTGGTCTTGATTCCCTCTCTGCCTCAGTCACCTTCAGTCTTTTTAAAATTTCCATAAGCAATCTCTTGGACTCTTTGTTGTCATTTTCTAGAGCTGTCATTCTTGTCTCCATTGAAGGTACAGTTTTAGGTGTTGTTCTGTTGATAACCCTTATGCTCGCATCTTCTTGGTGTTTAATTATAGGTGGAATTTCTTCTGATTTCTCTTCAAAGGTAACTCTTCTGACTTCTTTTTTAGGCCCCATTATTAACTTCTGGTTAGTGATGGCACTTTTCATATGTTGTACTGCCTCATCTAGTGTTTTTGGATCTTTGTCTAAAGTGACCAGTGCTGCTCTTTTCTCAGTACAGCCCCTTAGGAAGGCATCAATAGTAATGGTGCTCTTAAAGTACTCAGGGGTGTCCGGGTAGCCTTCAGTTGTAAGCTCTTCAATTCTTTCAGCGAATTCCTCTAATGTTTCGTCTACGTTCTGTTTTATTTCTTGTAACTGCCGCCTGATGATGTGGGGCTGATCTTTCTTGTCGAACCTCTCCTTCATTTTCTGGCATAAGATGTTATAATCTTTTTGTACATTTTCTGGTCTAGAACTGAAGAATTTTAAAGCTTTCTCTCTTAAACATTCTATCAATTTGTCTAATTTTTCTTTTTCATTCCACATGTATTTCTTTGCAATATGGTTAAACTGTACAAAATAGGGTTTCCACTCTGATTTCCCATCATAAGTTGACAATTTGGGAGTGGCTGGACTGCAAGGTGTTTTCGCATTACTTCTCTTATCTTCTGTTTTTTCACCGTTATGGTAAACATTTTGGGGAGCTAACCTATTTATGTGTGAAATGTATTCTTCCTGTTCTCTCTCTGCTTTCATTTGTCTTAAATCTCTTTCTCTCTTTTCAATTTCTTTTTCTCTAAGATCTAGTTCTCTCATTCTTATCCTGAATTGTTCCTCTTTCTCTGTTCTTTCTTTTTCATCTAATCTTTGTACCCTTTCTTTCTGATCTACAAATCTTTGCATTTGTTCATCTAACTCTCTTTCTCTAATAGAAAATTTCTCATTCATTTCTTTCTCTTTCATTTCAAACTTTTTTTGCATCTCTTCAAACATTCGGTCTGCTTTCTCTCGACTAGCAATTGTGCTCTTATGTAATAAAGTTAGTTCCTCGTCTTTCTCCTTAATTTCATCCTCTCTCTCTCTAATCAGAATCTCTCTTTCTCTGATCTTTCCATCCTTTGCCCATAACTCTCTCTCTAACTCTTGGATTTTTTCTAACAATTTATTTTGGGGATCTTCTGAGGCTTTTGTTGTTTGAATGTCTGATGTATTTGTTTGATCTGAAATTTGTTCTGTATTGTCAGAATGTCTAAGAATGGATGGTACAATAATTAATCCTTCTTCTACCAGAGGATCCCAGATTGTACTTGGGATATTGGGAATTAATTTTAGATCTTCCAAGGTTATTTCTCCCTTTCTATCTCTGATCTCTAATATTGCTTTTGCCCTTTTGTCTCCTATATTTCTGATTGTTTTTAATGTTTCTAGTGAAGCCTCATTGATATTAATGGGGGTAGTCATAATGCAGATGTAATTGCTTCTATACCTGTATACACTTGTTTTGTATGATTCCTAATGATGTTTATTTAACTAAATCATCAGACAATCCGACGATTTAGTCATGTTGGTTTGCATTGTCAAAAACATGTAGGTGTATACTAGGAAAAATGAATTGGAAAAAAAGAAAAAAAATAAAGCACAAAAAATGAAAAATACAAAAATAGAAGGGAAAGAAAAAAAAAATGTACAAACTATTTCTCAAAAAAAAATATTGTCTTCAAGGCTAGAAGACAAAGAGAAATAAGTTGCTTTCCCACCAAAAATCTATAAAAAATAAACAAATAGCTTTTCTCAAAAAAAAATATTGTCTAGAAGAGACAAAGAGAAATTTCAAACGGATTAGTACAAAATCAATAAATATTATTTCTCAAAAAAAAATATTATCTATAAGAGATAAAGAGAAAATTGAAAAAACGTGTTTTATGAAAATAACAAATAGAGTTTCTCAAAAAAAATATTGTCTTTAAGAGACAAAGAGAAAAAGAATACTACAAAATAAACAAATAATGTTCCTCAAAATGAATATTGTCTTTAAGAGACAAAGAGAAAGTTCAAAAAATTCTACAAAATAAACAAAAAGGGTTTCTCAAAATAAATATTGTCTTTATGAGACAAAGAGAAATATTTTTAAAAACGGCGCCAAAATGCACGATCTTCTATGCGGGGTAATTTAATTGACAAACTACACTTCTGACACCAATGTTGTATTTGTATAACTATATACAAATATAAAAGAGATAGCTCACCTATGCACACCTATGCAGGTGAACTCAAAGAGCCGCAAAACCTCCCAGGTTATTTATGGTGTGTTAACACTGTCAGGTCTACGATGCAACTGAAGATTATTGTTTATAGTTGACAACCACTCAGAGTAAGAATATTGGGATCTCGAGCCCGATCATAAAAACATTATACTTTACTACAACAAGCTTATCTTTTTAAAAAGATTGGTGAGCTAGCGCTGTAGCATAATAAAATACAGAAGATATCTGAACCATTTGTTAAATTTGCTGAATCGATTAATTATTAATAAGAAGGCACATTGGAGCACTGGGGGGGGGGGGGGGGGTCATAATTCAGAATGGTGAATCTAAGAGTGGGCTTCACGTCGGCAATGGCATAACTCCTAACTGTGCTTTAAGCATTCTGTATTCTACTGTAATTTCAATTTGGAGGTGAAAAAAAGGTCAGTAGAACCAATGAGCACCTAGTTTAAAATATTCCTGTGTGGTACTGTTTTTTTTTTTTTTTTAGTAATCGCATCTTCTCGGAACTTTCCGACAAGCTCGGCAAACATATCCGAGGTTGCGGCGGTTTTCCGAACTTGCCGGAAAAATCAATGAAGGTAGATTAGAAAAGCTAGGTACTCATGACAATTTTAGAAATAACAGTCTTCGTTTTATAAGACCCGAGTAACTGTTACTTTTTGTTCATTTACGTGCAGGATAGACAACAAAACACGAAACTTCAGATCATATGTATTTTCAGATGATAAAAACTAAACTGACATGTCTTTCCGACATACTCTGAAAATATTTTTTTCCGAGTTTGCCGAAATATCCAGGAAGGTGGTGCAACTGTGAGAAAAGCTAGATGTCTAGAATCTTATGCATTATATGACCTAAGTTTTTCTTGTACTTTTACGTGTAGGTTAGACAATGAATTAAAAAAAAACAGAATCCGGATCTAGACTGGTATTGCCTGTCTCTAACGTAAGAAATGTATATCGCACATATCAGACAGGAAAGGCTAGTGTAAATTCTGATCATATCTATATTTGTATGGCAAAACGAAATTGTTATCGCACAGTCTATACAGTAGTTTTCCCAGAATGCCCGACCGTGAAGTCGAGCATGCGTATTCCAGAAATATAGACTAACGTAGTTGCTAGCGCTCGAGAGCGCTAGCAATAATATTAACTTCCGGGTACCTCACACATGGCGATGTAGTTTAAGCAGTTGTACAAAGCCGAAGGGTTCTCCGACTTACGATGGATAAATTGAGTGTCATACAAGCTTGGGTGCGAGCAAGTAGGAGGAGAATTTCTATCGAAGTACAGGTAAACAATTCAGAAAATGTCACCTGTTTTTTGTGTATTCTTTGGGAAAATAGAAGTGTCTTATATTATGTCTGATTAGAATAGTTTTATCATCATCATTCCAACTAATTTATTAACAGATTTTTCTTGAATTCGAGGATAATGATGTTATTACCAGCTGATTTAGGAGGAGTAGTGTAAGTGTCAGATGGGTACGAACGTCATCTTGTGACTGCATCACCTTTGTTTGGGTAAATAATTTGCTCAGAATACGCTTCATTTATCTACAGAAATTTAGCTGTTGCATGTCAGTGGGTTTGTTTTTTAAGTATTCAATGTTTGAAAGCACTTATCAGGTCCAGTACAATCTCTTGATTTAGCTATATAGCTTTATTTAGCTATAAGTTTTATTAAGCTATTCAGAATAACTTAATTTAGCTATATTATCAAACTATTTTCTTAAATGTGTAATTTTCTCAGCATGCACAAAAAGTCACACCTTAGTGCAGTGATGATATAATAAACTCATCTGAAATTGATGCAAGTAAAAATCACTCATTAAAATCTTCTTGAGAGACTTTGTACTCAAAGTTCTAAAAGTTTTTGGGCTACATAACGCAATTGATACAGTTACTTCTCCAATGAAATTATAAAGGAGGCCAACATTATTGTCAACAAGATAATTGATTGGTAATAAGGGTGCATATCATTACCGCTACGTCATTTTCAAAATTTTCATTACCGCTACATGCACATTACCGCTACAAAAAAAGGATACATTACCGCTACATTTGAAAGTATACATTACTGCTACATTGCCTCTTTCATTAGCCAGCGTCTTATGCGTGTACAGTACAATATACATGTATATATATATATATATACATCCATAAGACCTGTTTCCCTGCACCTCCACACTTTGGAGTGTTTAAAAGTCTTATTTATACGAAATTTATATCCATTAATAACTAATCCTGCATTGCTGCGATTTGTCACAAACTTCTCAATAGTAGCTATGACATTCATGTGACACTAAATCGACAACAGACTCATATATGCTCATTTTGATTAGAATTCAGATCCAAATTGTACTTCAATACATGGTGAGTAGATTATATTGAATGGAACTCAAATACCATGCCATTGCTGGCAGATTCGGTATGTAGCGGTAATTAGTTGTTGTCGGCATTAGTTCCTTTCATAAAATGTAGTGGTAATGATCACCCGAAAATTTGAGAAAATGTAGCGGTAATGAGTTGAAATTTTTCTTAATGTAGCGGTAATGTTGACCTCCCGGTAATAATTCAGTACAATGAGAAGCAATCATACTTATCCATGTCTCAATGTCACACATGTCACACAAGGTAGTGGACAGTTACTCAAACAATAGAAATTTATCTTTTGCTTAAAAGTATTCAAAAGTTGCAAAGTTAGAGCTATCTTTGATTTTGCTTGTTGTTTCGATAGCCCATAGTACATATATGAATAGTCAAATATATGCGTCTTTTTGTCTATTTCTTAGAAAAATAATTTTTGTGAAAAACTGCATATAAATAGCTAAATCAAGCTATTTTGAATTAAGTTTGATAAAGCTATATAGCTATTTCAAGCTATATAGCTAAATTAAGATATTGCACTGGACCTGCTTATTTCCCAATGATAAGTATGGAACGCCATAGCTGCCTGAAGGTCATTTTCATTTTATATGAGGTGGTATAACCTTTATGTGAAGTGGTTAAGTCATTATATATAGTGGTAAAATCATTATATTCAATGAAAACTTTATTATATGCATTGGTTTTATCTTTATATACAGTGATAAAATCATTATATACAGTGATAAAATCATTATATTCATTGATGACTTTATTATATGCAGTGGTTTTATCATTATATTCAGTGGCAATGTCATTATATGTAGTGGTTAAATAATGTAATGAAGTGATAGTACCGTTACATTATGCTGTAAAATCATTATATGCAGTGGTTTTTCCATTATATACATTACTGATATCTTTCTGTGATGTGATAAATTCAATATATACAGTACAAACATAATTTGTGTGATAAAGCAATCATTACATTGTATGAAACCCGCTGCATGTGGAGTGCCAAGTTAATTTCATTCAGTGCGACACCTTTACATGAAGTGAAAAATCTATTATGTGCAGTACTAAGATCATTATATTATATAGTAAAATTATTATATATATTCCTAAAATCATACTTTGCAGTGGTAACATCTTTATATGAGGTGGTTAATTAATTATATGATGTTGTTAATTTGTTATATGATGTGGTCAATTCTTTTTATGCATTAGTCGTTTCATGTTATGCAGTGGTAACTTCTTTATCATCATCTAAACTGGTCCTCTTGCAAAAACATTTTTAAAAAATGCGCGGAGTTCCAGTTTAAAGAGTGTTTGAAAATAGGAAACCCGGGCCATGGCAAATTAAAAGCCGGGACTATTCGAGATTTTTCAAATTTCTGATTTAAAATATTTTCAGACTCTTTTTTTAGGCTAATGTGTTTTCGCTGTAAAAATTGTATTTAAATATTTGGTTTTTTAGATTTTCTTTACGATTTTTGGTTTCAAGTAAAATTGGTAGGCAGTTTCAATTTTCTGATTTAATATTTTATCCATTGTGCTATAAGTACTTAGTATTTTAGATTTTTTTTTTGACGATTGTTGATTTCCATGTTGGTAAAATGGGTAGACTGGGTTGGCGATATTTTATGTGTGTGTGTGTTTTTTTTTTTGACATATTTGATAAAAATCTAATAAACTTAAAAATTATTCCGATGTTAAACACTGTATTTTAACTAAAAAAAAACTTTTTTTTTATAGTTATTTCTTTATTTGAAAATGCTATTTTTATGCAAAATACACATTTTCATTAAAAAAGGGATTATTAAACCAGA